AAAAAATGAAATCAGAAATAATTTCTCAGATAACAGCAGAGATTGTGCCCATAGTGCAAGACATAATTAATAAATCTAGAGAGGACACAGATAAAAAAAAAATAGAGGAGCGGAGGAACATGATGGAATTCCAACATAGGAAAACAATTGAATCCATAAAACAGATGCAAACAGATTTACAGTAGATTAAAAGCTCCACTGAAAGGCTACACTGCAGAATGAGCCAATGTGAGGACAGATGGGCCGGGGATTTAGCTCAGTGGTTCCGCTGCCTGCCTCGCAAGCACAAGGACCACAGTTTGATCCCCAGTACCAAAAAAAAAAAAAAATGTGAGGACAGAATTTCAGATAGAGAAGATAAGATTGCAATTAGTGACCATGAAAAGAAATATTTCTTTAAAATTGTAAGGGACTAGGAGAAATCAATCAAGCAGCTGTTAGATAATCCAAAGAAGAATAAGACTAATCGGAGTCAATGAAGAAACAGGAGAGAGTGCAGATGACATAGAAAATCTTTTCACAGAAGTGATGGCAGAAAACTTCCCCACCAGGGGAAAAGAACTTGACATGCAGATAAGTGAGGCATATAGGACTCCAACCAGCCTTGATCAAAAAAATCTACACATAGGCATATAATTGTTAAGATTCCAGAAACTCAACAGAAGAACAAAATTCTACAAGCAGTTAGAGAAAAACCACCAAATTACATACAAAGGAAAGCCCATCAGAATCACAGCAGACTTCTCAATGCAAACCCTCAAGGCAAGAAGAGATTGGAGTGATGCATTCCAAGCTCTAAATAAAAACAGCCTCCAACCCAGATTGATGTACCCTGCAAAAATATCTTTCAAAATTGATGGTAGAATAAGATACTTTCATAACAAAGAGAACCTTAGGAACTTCATGAATACCAAACCAGCATTCCAAACAATATTAGACAATACCCTAGGAAAAGACAATGAGGATCATAACCCAGGAAACCCAATACAATGAATCCTTTGGACACAACAAGAAATTAAATATAAAGGGGAAGAATCCAACAGAAAGAAAAAGTCATAACATGATACGTCAACACGTTTCAGTTATGATCATCAATGTTAATGGCCTCAATTCACCAATCAAAAGAAATAGACTGGCAGAATGGATCAAGAAACAAGATGCAACAATATGCTGCATA